GGATTCTAAAATGGTGGAAATCTTTTTCCGTCTAAAAGCAATCCATATGCATTTTATGCATCAGTAAAGGCATTTGCTGCCTACCGTGGCTTCAAGGACAGAGTTAGGTTGGGCACTGAAAAACATAAGAGTGCCTTAAGATAATCAAGCATAATCAAGCCTTTGAGTTGACCTTGTGTAGGTATTATGGGAATGTGGATTTTCAAATTTTCTTTTGGAAAAAGTGGTTTGAGATTTGAATGTGAGAAATTTAGGATGCTGTGCTTACACACTGAACTGGGAGTAAGCCCATTCATGTCCGTGGGGCATAGATCTAAATAAATGTACTGGCAGGATCTGTTCTCTCTCCAGGTAGCAATGAAGCCCAGTATGAGATCTTGGGCAAGTCACTAGATTTATTTATTATATTTATATCCCATATTTTTCCTTCCAATGAACTCAGGGCATCTTACATCATTCTCTTCCTCCTACTCTCAATCTTAGCCCTACAACAACAGTCCTGTGAGGTAGGTTGGGCTGAGATTCTGTAACTGGACCAAAGTTACCCAGTGGGATCCATGGCTGAGCAGGGACTAGAACCCAGGTCTCCAGAAACCCAGTCCCACGTTCTTAACCATGACACTACACTGGCTTTCTGAATTATAGTTCAGCCTAACTTCTTCACATGGTTGTTCTAATGGGAAGAACCAATCCATTGTATTGTACCCTAAAATCCTTGGAGGAAGATAAAAAGAACAAAGTGTGGCATCTTCAAGACTTATGTGGACATTGTAGCTTAAGCTTTTGTTGACTTGAATCCACTGATAATGTTGACTGCAGCCCACAAAAGCTTATGCCATAATAAATATGTTACTCTTTAAGGTGCCACAAGATTCTTTACTGCGTTTGCTGTAACAGACGGTCTGGAAACATGTGACAAATGTGACAAATCAGTTTTCTTCAATGCTACTCAGCTAACATTGGATTCCTTTTGAAGGGAAATTTGAATTTACTGGAGGGTTTGAGGCTTTTTTAAACAAGCCTTCAGTTTAGAAATCCTATTTTCTGTCTACTGAAATTTGGCATGGGCTCGGAGAAATGACTGCCTTGATGCCGAGATGTGCTGAGATTTTCATATACACAGACTACAGTTTAAAATAAAATAGAATGCTTTCATTAGGAATAAGCAACATGCATGCACATCTTTCATGCAATATGGAAATAGAAAAAAAGTTAGACTTACATCAAATCTGTCCTCATAGGCTCTGTCCCTCTTCCACCAAAACAAACAAGTTCTTTTAAAGTTGAGTTGGCAGGAACCTCACCCAGCAGGCAGAACTTTCTTTTACAGCCATAATTCCCACTCCAAGGCTTTGTTGAACACCATATTTGAGATCCGTTATGCTGTAAGCTTACTGATGGGTTATTGCAAGGTGATCTAACTTCATTTAAGTCAGAGTTAGAGTAAGGGACTTAAATGAAGATATTTTAAAAAGCCCTATTTAAATACTTAGTGACATTTTGACTAACTTGAGATAAAGTCAAAAAGTCCCTATCTTTTTAAGAAATTAGAAAAGTCCCTAAAGTCCTTAAGAATCTTTTTTTTGTACTCTGTGATTGGTAGTGTGTCCAAGAACAGGTGCATAAACCACAAGCTTGTTTTTTTTTATCAAACTCTCTTTTTCAAAATTAAAATTATTGCCTTTGCTAACCAAATAAGCTCTTCCCAAAAGATACTCTGGCTCAAGCAAGGCCTACTTTTTATCAGGCTTACTGATCTTTGGTTCTTTTAGCTATCTTATCCCATACCTATCTTATGTTAAGCAATAACCTTATGGGAAGTTTATACAGCCATCTGCCTTAAGATAATTTCCCCATACTTTATAAGCTTACAATGCCTTTCCTTTTGCCCAGAAACAGTACTCAGGAAGTTCACACAACATATGCAGGCTTAAGGCAGGGGAGGACCACTTGTGACCCTTCAGATGCTGCAAGACTGCAACTCCTATTAGCCCTAGCAAGATTAGCCACTGGTTGGGGATCATGGGACTTAAAAAGCCACAGACTGCCCACCCCTGGTTTAGTGGATCCATACAAAGTTAGACATCCTGTGTGGCAGCAGCCATGCAATTCACTTGAACATATGCGGTCAGTTCCAAGACAAGCCAAGCGCACTGCCCTAGGCTTTACACTGCCCTGGCAAAAACTAGAACCCATTGGTGCCACCCTGTGCTTCTTGACAGAAAGAGGGGATGCAAATGTGACTGAAAAAGATTGAGGTGGGTGCCTGTTCAGATAATCATGCGATCAATGTGAGCTGTGTGCTAGAGTCTTAGAATAGCAACCCAAGTCTCAGTGGCTGCCTTTGTGATCCAGAGTATAGTTAGGTTGTTAAACTTCCATGGGCCCCAGTGGTACTTTAGGAGTGCATCTCTGCAGGATCACAGTCTCTGATTCTGCTCAGATGTAGGATTGGAACCTCAAACATGGCACTATTTGATTGTTAAAGCCATGCGGTGTTAACCTTAGTTTTAGTGAGAGATCTAGTGATGCTAGATAGGGAAGGGAGGCTGGCAGCCACACAACACAGCTTCCGCAAAAACAGGTCCTGCCAGACAAACCTTGTGGAATTCTATGGCAAGGTTTCGAGATGGCTAGATGGAGGGGATGCAGTGGATGTGGTACACCTAGATTTCAGCAAGGCCTTTGACAAAGTGCCCCCTGATAGCCTGGTGGAGAAACTGAAGAGTTTTGGGATACACCAAAGCACTGTCCGGTGGATTAGGGCATGGTTGACTGACTGAAAGCAGAGGGTAACCATTAGTGGGGAATCATCAGGATGGTGGCCAGTGACAAGCGGGGTCTCCCAGGGCTCCATCCTGGGGCCAATCCTGTTTAATCTTTTCATCAACAACATGGAAGAAGGGGTGACCAGCCTGCTGATCAAATTCGCAGACGATACTAAAATGGGGGCAGTGGCCACAACTGAGGAGCAGGTACTCCAGATCCAAAAGGATCTGGACAGACTATGGAAGTAGGCAGGAGACAACAGGATGGCGTTAAATGTGGATAAGTGCAAAGTCTTGCACTTGGGGCATAGGAATAGGTGTCATAAGTACAGATTAGGGGACAAGTGGCTCGTGAGCAGCACTTGTGAAAGGGACCTCGGGGTGCTGGTTGACTGCAGGCTAAACATGAGTCAGCAGCGGGATGCGGTGGTCAAGAGGGCGAATGCCACCCTTGGTTGGATAGCCAGAAGTTTGGCTTCTAGATCGAGAGAGGTATTACTACCACTCTATACCACTCTGGTGTGCCCGCAACTGCAGTATTGTGTTCTGTTCTGGGCGCCTCATTACAGGAAGGATATAGCCAGGTTAGAGTCAGTGCAGCGTAGGGCCACAAGGTTGGTGACTGGTTTACAGAAGATGCCGTATGAGGCAAGACTGAGGGAACTGGGTCTTTTCAGCCTGGAGAAGAGGAGACTCAGAGGGGATCTGTTGGTGACATACAGGTATGTGAAGGGGTGTCACATGGAGGTGGATAGAGACCTGTTCTCTCCTGCAGAGGAGGGCAGGACACACTCCAACAGAGCAAAGCTTGGGGAACCAAGGTTCAGGGGGGATGCCAGGAAGTACTTCTGACAGTTAGGTCCCCGAGGGTACGGAATAGGCTTCCACAGCAGGTGGTTGAGACCCCATCGGTGAGGGTGTTCAAGGACAGGCTAGACATGCAAATAATGGGCATGTCGTGAGCGGAGCCAGCTGGAGCCGTGGGTCAGACTAGATGGCCCGGGAGACCCCTTCTGACTCACTCTGTTTCTCCATTTCTAATTTTGCTTTTAGGACTAAAATTAACATCCACTTCATTAGCTGGTTAGGATCCAAATCTGTGATAGAACAGTTTGAACTTTCCTTTAAAAAGTGCACTGAAGTGTGTCTGCTTCTGTTATATTTCATTGACCTGCTTATAAATGGCAAAAGCTGGATGTATGCATAGGGGGCCATGTGCCTGGATGAGCAACATGGGCCCTGCTGCTCAACAGAGAAGGACAAGTCGTGTGTAAAGGACCTGAAGGCTGGAGACTGATCCCCAGATAGGAAAGGGACAACAGCCCACACAGGTGTACATTCGGTCCAACTTCCTAGCAGCCTTGCATCTGCACCAGAGGTGTGGTAACTCAGCTTTGTACTTGGCAAGATTGTACAGAGGACTAAAGTCTCCAGAATGCTTTGGTCATCTGTATGATCCCTGAGACGTTTGGACTCTTGGCCTCTGTGCATTGCATTTCTTCTAGTCGTAGGCGAGGAGTTGACACTGGAACGAGTGGAAGATGCATCCCTCCCTGCCTCGCAGGCACACACTGGCAGACAGAACCATCTGCACACCTCCGTTGCGCGCCAGCAGTTATTTACAAATGCCGGAGGTACAATGTGCTTTTCATTTAAGATTTTTTACATTTATAGATTTAATTCACTTTACCCCGCCTGGGAACTTTTAAAAATCGCTTATCTCTAATCTGGAGTCAGTTATGAAAGAGCTACTTCAATTACATTAAAGAGCTCCCAGGGAGACTCACAGCCATTGTAATCAAAGCAGCAGTCTCCCTCCCTCCCCCTCCCTCTCCTTCCTTCTTATATATGCGCAGACAACGCTCCCCCCTCCATAAGCAAGCATGTTCATTGGCAGAGAAATGATGGTGAAATAGATTGCCATGGTGACAACCATTCATTTAGGTGCAGTCAGATTCTGATTTCAGGGAGAAGCTGGAGTGGGACCAAGCGTAGGCAAATGCTTGTGGTGGAACAGGCAGTGGAATAGTTGGGTGGGAAATAGTGGTAAGGTGATATTATTACATTGTGTGCCTATCCCACTTTTTCCCTCTTGTGAGGAACCCAGTAGGGCTATCATAGCTCCATTCTAACCTTGCAGCAACATCCCTGTGAGGTGGGTTGGGCTGTGAGTGAGTGACTGGCCCAAAGTCACCCAGGGAGCTTCTTGGCTGAGTGGTCCTCCAGGTCTGCAGCCCACCATACCACACCGGCCCATGTGCCACTCAGCCTGCTCTTTGCCCCCCAAGCTGCCCCCAAGTGCAGCAGAGGTTGCTGCTGTGTCACTGATAGCAAAGTATGATTCGGTTGCTGGTGCAGTGGACTCCTGTGGGTGGGACAGGAAGGGTTGCAACTGGTCTACCAAAGGCTGCCTCATTAAATCCAGAAAGTCCGGGATTTAATGTAGTTGTTTTGAAACATTGCAATATCCTACTAATAATCTTACTGTAATTAGAGGTCTGTTTTTGGGCTCCCTGAGCTCAGCTTCGTTGAGAACTACAGGGCCCACTTTGTGGTCTATTAAGACCAATTAAGGACTGCTGGGAGTCCTCACACAAACATATTTGAAGAATCTCCTGACAGTTCTTGGCATTAGATGGACACCATGATTCAGTACACATTAAGTGCTTTTCTACACATGGCATTTATTGTGCACTCATGAGTCACCATTGTTTAAGAGCTTTTTCGACTATGTCAAGAGTGTTTGCTTTTCTTCAGAGCACTTTCCTGCTTTCTTTTAGAATAGGGAAGGGAGGATATTATTTTAGAACAGGGCAATGCTGCTATTTCTTCTTCTGTATTGGAGCTATTCCACTGCAGCACAGCACCACTTAGAGGTTGCATAGTGGAAAAGCAGGAGAGGAAAAACTTTGCATGGAGCTTGAATTGCAATGCTGCGAAAATGCTGCAGGAAAAACAATGGAAAGGCTCATAATAGAGAGAGATCTAGTAATCTTAGACAGGGAAGGGAGGCTGGCAGCCATACAACATGGCTTGCACAAAAACAGGTCCTGCCAGACAAACCTTGTGGAATTCTAGGGCAAAGTTTCGAGATGGCTAGATGGAGGGGATGTAGTGAATGTGGTTTACCTGGATTTCAGCAAGGCCTTTGACAAAGTGCCCCATGATAGCCTGGTGGAGAAACTGAAGAGTTTTGGGATACACCAAAGCACTGTCCAGTGAATTAGGGCATGGTTGACTGACTGAAAGCAGAGGGTAACCATTAGTGGGGAATCGTTGGGATGGCGGCCAGTGACAAGTGGGGTCCCCAGGGCTCTGTCCTGGGGCCGATCCTGTTTAATTTTTTCATCAATGACATGGAAGAAGGGGTGACCAGTCTGCTGATCAAATTTGCAGACAATACTAAAACTGGAGCAGTGGCCACAACTGAGGAGCAGGTACTCCAGATCCAAAAGGATCTGGACAGACTATGGAAATGGGCAGGAGACAACAGGATGGTGTTCAATGTGGATAAGTGCAAGGTCTTGCACTTGGGGCATAGGAATAGGTGTCATAAGTACAGGTTAGGGGACAAGTGTCTGGAGAGCAGCAATTGTGAAAGGCTCTCGGGGTGCTGGTTGACTGCAGGCTAAACATGAGTCAGCAGTGGGCTGCGGTGGTCAAGAGGGCGAACGCCACCCTTGTTTGCATAGCCAGAAGCATGGCTTCTAGATTGAGAGAGGTATTACTACCACTCTATATGACTCTGGTGTGCCTGCAACTGCAGTATTGTTCTCAGTTTTGAGCCCCGCATTTGTTGTGAGCCACCCCGAGGCTTTGTTGTGATGGGGGTGGCATAGAAATGTTATAACTAACTAACTAACTAACTAACAGAAAGGATATAGCCAGGTTAGAGTCAGTGCAGCGTAGGGCCACAAGGTTGGTGGCCGGTTTGCAGAGGATGCCATATGAGGCGAGACTGAGGAAACTGGGTCTCTTCAGCCTGGAGAAGAGGAGACTCAGAGGGGATATGTTGGTGACATACAGGTATGTGAGGGGATGTCACATGGAGGTGGGTAGAGACCTGTTCTCCCCTGCAGAGGAAGGCAAGACACGCTCCAATGGAGCAAAGCTCAGGGAGCCAAGGTTCAGGGGGGATGCCAGGAAGTACTTCATGACAGTTAGGACCCCGAGGGTATGGAATGGGCTTCCACAGGAAGTCATTGATGCCCCATCAGTGAAGGTGTTCAAAGATAGGCTGGACATGCACATGGTGGGCATGTCGTGAGCGGAGCTGTCTGGAGCCGGGGGTCAGACTAGATGGCCTGGGAGGCCCCTTCTGACTCGCTCTGTTTCTGTTTCTGTGCAATAAAACTGAAAGTCAATTAATACACATTAGTAGAGCCTTGTGTAGAAAAGCTCTAAATCTAGGCTTAAAACCAAAATGTTTTTAAGTACTCCTCTTTTTAAGCAAACCTGGAAGTGCTCCAGAAAGCAGACTAGGAACTGGACCTCAAGAGAAGTCAACTGTGAATGCCAAATGGACTTGGGGAGATGGGTTGATACACAATAGGAATATCAAAGACAGTTGGGCATACTGTTTATTAGATTTTTATCCTGCCTTTTTCTTTTTTAAACAAGAATTCAGTATGGCTTACACCATTCCCCTCCTGCTGTTGTCAGTCATATCCCCACAACAACGACCCTGTGAGGTAGGATGGGCTGAGAGTCGGTGACTGGCCCAAAGTCACCCAGTGGGCTCTGTGGCTGATCCAGTCCTGTGCTCTTAACCTCTGCACCACACTGGCATATGTGGGAGCGAAGACTTGAGAGGATGAGGAACAGCAACGATGCTTGCTCAGGCAAGTTTCCACAGCTGACCTGGAAGCAGGTCAAGGATCAACAGGAGCCAGTCGCCATCCTCAGGACAATATGGGTGTCCTCAGTGAGCTGTGCCAACAGCTGTACATGGAAGAGTCCCTGGCATGCTCAGACAAATGTGTTCTTCGTCGTGGCCTCTGTGCATCACACATATGGGTGCTGCGCCTGCGCGGTGCCTCTGGCCGAAAACATTCAAAAGCTTAATGGTTTCGGTGGGAACTCCGCACCCCTCCCCCCATGATATAAAAGGGCGGAGTGCCCCCTATTTTCTCAGTCTTCTTGCGACCGCTGTTCGCTGTGCCTTGAGCCTTTCGTCTTTCAGTTTGTATACGTTTATTCAAGTTTTTCCCTCCCTGTTAGAAGTTTTCTTCTCAATTTCCCCCTTTTCCCTGTTCAAAAAATAAAAAATATTACTCCTCTTTCTATCTACTTTGCTATCATCTCGTTCTTCCTCAATGGCGCAGCGTGTGGCTTTTTCGCAAGTGCTCTCAGTGTGGGTCCAAAATGTCCCCATTGCCAGACCTTTACCAAGCAGGCGAGGAAAAATTGAGAGAATTGCCTGTGCAAACTCTTGTGGGACCAAGCCCTGCTCCAATCTGACCAACTGGCAGGCAAATCTGTTCCTCCATCCTGCTCTTCCATCACACCTCCACTCCGCCCGTTGGCTGATGGTGCCGGAGCTCAACACTCCTCTTCATCTCCGCACAAACAGAGAAGAGGAAACATAGCAGATCCGACAAGTCCTCAGGCCATAAGAAGCCTAAGAAGGACAAGATGGAGAAGTCGGCTCGTAAGCCTAAGAAACCTGATCATCACAGGCACCGTGATTCAGGTTTGTCCGCCCCGTCAATTCCGATGGCTGTTTCAGTACCAACGCAGACCAGCCCGGCCCTCCAGTTGGCCATTCAAGTGACCCCGCCTGGATCTCCCAGACGGATCACATCTTCAGTCCAGTCCTTCCATGAGCAACGGGACATTCCCTTGTTGAGATCAATCCCCGACGGAGAGATTCGAAACTCTCCTCCAATGACTTGTTCACTTACTCCACAACCATCACCTGAGCCTTTCCCGAGGGCTGCTGGTCAACAGTGCGCCTCCGTTCGTCCCTCGGAAGAATGGGTGCAGCTGCCCCATAGACTGTCTCATTGCGAGCTATGGGATGATTATCTGCCCTATGGTTACAACCTGTTGGTGCGCGATCGTACCCTCTCTCCAGTACCGAGAGATGCTCCTTCGATCTCGAGAGCAACTCAGTCCAGGCATCCTACTTCGCCTATTGATTCTTCTTCTAGTCTCCCGCCTCACTACGATTCAGACGCGGGGGACTCTGAAGTGGCATCGACTTCACCAGACGCAGTGAGAGCCAGTGTGGTGTAGTGGTTAAAAGCGTGGGACTGAGACTCAGACGATCTGGGTTCTAGTCCCCGCTCAGCCATGGAGCCAACTGGGTGACTTTGGGCCAGTCACAGACTCTCAGCCCAACCTACCTCATAGGGTTGTTGTTGTGGGGATAAGATGGAAGAGGAGAATGATGTAAGCTACCTTGAGCCCTTTGTAGGAAAAAGGCAGGATATAAATCTAAAAAAAAAAAAAAAAAATCTACACAGGGTCCCAGCTCACCGGAGGAACCCTATCTAATCTTTGGGGAACTGATGGCAAGGCTTACAAGATCACTTGAGATCGAGGCCCAGCACTGCTTCGATCCCAATACCAACAAATTTTTACAACATTATCAAAGGTGAACATTCGGCCGCCATCTTTTTGCCACTTATTGCCACTCTTCGCCAGGCAATGATGGAACTGTGGAACTATCCTAATCAGCCTCAACCCACTTTGCGACGATACAAGGCCGTGTATCGAGTCCGTAAGCAGGATATTCCATTCCTCCTGCGTCATTCGAGACCAAACTTGATAGTTGTTGGGTCATCCCAAGATTGTGAGTCGAGGGGACACACTACCCCCTGCGAAAAAGAGGGCCGCAAGATCGACATGTTGGCTCACTGGATCTATGCCGCTACAAGACTTGGCCTCCGCATATCCAATTATGAGGCCATGCTGGCTCGATACCAATACTTTATTAAGCAGAAAAACCTGGCTAGAATCTTCATTAAAGAGACTATGCAGGTGGCAGTCCAGCAGCTTTCCACGGCGAGATACCATGTTGATTCCGACTCTAGAGCTCTTGTCAGTGCCGTAGCCCTCCGTCGTCATGCTTGGCTCCGCTGGATTGAAGAGATGCCCTTCAACAGTTCAGGGCTCTTCAGTGCGTGGACGGATCACAAGATGAAGACTATCCATGAGTCAAGGGTTACAGCTTGCTGGATGGAAGTCCCGAATCAATTGCGCCATAAGTGGTCTTGGTCTCGCCCGTCCTACAGATACCAGCCGTACTCGCAATTTGCGGGCCGTCAGCAGTTCCAGCCCCGGCAACAGCATTGGAAGCAGCAACAACAACGCTTCCAACAGAACTGTCATCGTCCAACAACGTTGACGGGACGAGCGAACCTCTCCTCTCCTCCTCAACCCACCTTCCCCTCTTCCCTTTGGGGATCAGCTGCAAAGTCGACTTCCCATCTGATCAGTGGGTTTTTATCCATCATACAGCATGGATACAGAATTGAGTTCGATAACATGCCCCTGCTGGGACCAATCCGATTTTCGCCTTACTTATTGGTTCTCGTTGACGAAGTCCAGCAACTTCTTCATAAAGGAGCGATTTGACAGCTTCTATGCTTCTAGGGGTTCCACAAATTCTATTCAACATATTTCACTATCCATAAGCGTGATGGCGGTCTTCGTCCAATTCTGGACCTACGTGGCATCAATAGGTTCATGTAGACCACAAAATTTTGGATGACTACCCTCCAAAATATTTATTTATTTATTTAGACAACTTATATGCTGCCCCCTTCGCAAAAGCCTTGGGGCAGCTTCCAATCATATCCTTCCGTTGCTTAGGAGAGAGGATTGGTTTGCTTCTCTGGACTTGAAAGATGCCTATTTTTCACATTACCATTCACCCGTCTCACGGGCGTCTTCTTTGGTTCACAGTTGGTTCCAACCTATTTGAGTACAACGTCTTGCCATTTGGACTGGCTACTGCCCCCCGGGTTTTTACGAAATGTATGGCCCCGGTGTGCGCACACCTTCATCTCCAAGGGATTCAAGTATACCCCTACCTGGATGACTGGCTGATCATCTCCCCGTCTAAGGAAGGCCTTCGGTCAGCACTTTAAACTACTTGTACCCTCTTGGACAAGTTGGGACTATGCATTAACCATGAGAAGTCGTGCCTTGTTCCCTCACAGGTCATCGACTTCATTGCAGCCCATCTCGATTCCATGCTGCCGAGAGCTTTTCTCCCACAGAGTCGGCAAGACAATCTATGTGCATCGATCTGTCAAATCCACATGGACACAGCTGTTCCAGCACTCTCGGTGCAGAAACTTCTCGGCCACATGGCCTCTACAGTCGCTACAGTTCCCCACGCCAGGCTATGGATGAGACCACTCCAGTTGTGGTGCAACGGACTGTTTCAGCACCAGCGAGACTCGCCTCATTGTCTCCTCTGCCTTCCGACCTCCGTCCTCCAGACTCTATCGTAGTGGACTATGCGCAACAATCTGGCCGTAGGTGTCCCGTTTTGTCCACCCGACCCTGACTCTGTTTACTGATGCTTCCCTTACCTGGTGGGGAGCCCTATGTGCCGGCCTCCATACACAGGGCACCTGAGAGCGCCAGGAGTCCGCCAGACACATCAACTACCTCGAACTCCTGGCGGTCTTCAATGCCCTTCAATCATTCGAGGACACTCTCCAACAACACGTTGTGCAAGTTGCCTCTGACAACATTGTCGCTGTATTCTATATAAACAAACAAGGTGGGACGAAGTCCACTCCCCTGCCCCGCCTGGTGATGCAACTGTGGGACTGGTGCATCCCCAGAGAGATAATCCTCCTTGCAGTTCACCTGGCCGGTACCGACAATGAGGAGACCAACGCCCTCAGCAGGCAGATGTCGACGACTCATGAATGGGAACTGGATCATCCGAACTGCCATCACCTCTTTCAGACCTTGGGCCCTCCAGACATATACCTGTTCGCCACCCACACATACAAGGTGTGCGGGATGTTCTGCTCCCATGCCGGCATCGGCCTGGGATCTACAGGTGACGCTCTCATGATCCGTTGGTTCTAGCCAAGATCGTCGGTGCCACGGGAATCCTGATCACCCCCTGGTTGCCCCGTCAACCATTGTTCCCTACTCTTTTCCGCCTATCTGGCAGCACCTTTCCCCGCCTGCCCCTCATACCTCATCTAATAACTCAACAGGACAGAGCTGTTCATCCCCGGATATTCCCTCACTTAGTCTAACTGCTTGGCTCATTTGATGAACCACAGGGTCCATTCGGTACCGGCGGATTCAGGGACTCTTCCACTTGTCCATCACTATTCAGATACAGCTTCCATTTTCTTGATTCCAATAGACTTCGCATTGAATCCGAGCACTCTCGATCCTGATATTCAATTTATTCTCCAGTCTGCCCTAAGGCCTGCAACTTGTCTTATGCGGCCAAATGGAAACGCTTCATGTTCTTTGCTGAATCCAGCAGTTTTACTGCTTCTTCAATTTCTTCTCATATGTCGATTTCTCAAGGGTTTACAGAACCTCCAACCACCACTTTGTCCAGGTATTCCTACCTGGAGCCTCTCGGTTGTTCTCCAGGCACTCACCCAAGCTCCTTTTGAGCCCCTAGCAACTACTGACTTATGCCTCTTATCTTCGAAGACTGCCTTTCTCGTCGCGGTGATGTCTGCCAGAAAGGATAGTGAACTCTATGCACTTAGGATAGATCCTCCTTACCTGAACTTTCATAAGGAGAAAGTTGTTCTATGCACTGATCCGGCCTTCTTACTCAAGATTGTGTCTCCTTTCCATATTAACCAGGACATTGTCTTACTGGCCTTTTTCCCTATTCCCACTACACCAATTGAATGGTCGGTGCATTCTCTCGACATTCATCACTGCCTTGCCTTCTACCGGTCTCGTACGGAATCTTTCCATAAATCTAACCTCCTCTTTGTTAAATACTAGGACTATGATAAGGGCTCCCCTGTTGGTTCACTGACACTTTCAAAGTGGATCGTACAGACCATTGAACTAGCGTATCAGCTTGCCAAGCTTGACTTACCTGTCATGCCCAGAGGGCATTCCACGAGGGCAGCAGCTGCCTCCTCTGCTTTTGCCGCTGGCATCCCGATCCAGGACATTACAAGGCTGCCACTTGGACTACTTCTTGCACCTTTGCCAGGCATTACTGCCTTGATGTGTGTGCCAGACATGACTGCTCCTTTGGTTGGGCAGTCCTTTCTTCTTTTCTTCAATGATGACACCGCCCGCCTCCAGGTCTCATAAGCTTGCTAATCACCCATATGTGTGATGCACAGAGGCCATGACGAAGAAAGGCAGGTTGCTCACCTGTAACTGTCGTTCTTCGAGTGGCCATCTGTGCATTCACACAACCCACCCGCCGTCCCTGCTCAGTGTCGGTGAATGGTTTTATGCGGTACCGTTTCTTTCTTGATACTGGTCCCATTAGCGCTTTCTTTCTATACGGTTCAGCAGGTTTCCTGCAATATCTCTCGCTCTCACGAGGGGTCGAATGATCGGTCTCCAGTAGACTGAGGAAATAGCGGGCACTCCGCCCTTTTATACCATGGAGGGGAGGGGTGTGGAGTTCCTGCCAAAACCGTTAAGCTTTTGGATCTTTCCGGCCAGAGGCACTGCACAGGCGCAGCACCCATATGTGTGAATGCACAGGTGGCCTCTCGAAGAACGACAGTTACAGGTGAGCAACCTGCCTTTGCCCTTAGCTTCACCCCAGCACCAAAACGTGTGCTTTTCCCATATGTGTCCACTGCTGCCTCCTATAGCTGTGAGTACAGAGGACTGCCCTGGTCAATACAGGATTTGCCCAGCTGTGCCCATTTCGCTTCTCACAACCAATTGGATGAAGGCGAGTGAGGGTAGAGCCTTGAAGGGCATTCTGGAGTGGCTTGATTCAGCATTCATTTAAATAAATAATCAGGCAAAACCAGCAAAAGTGTTACTCATTTGTTGCACAGAACCTCAGTATCCCTCCCCCCCCGCCTTGCAAATTGCAAAATTTTGTCACTAGTTTTCCTCCAGCTAGCTAGTTTGGTGTATTGCTACAGATCATGCAGTTGCTCTGGGCTATTGGGGTGGTATATAAATGCAAATATTAAATAAATAATAAATGAGGATCCTGAGGAGCTGGAGGACGGGAAGATTCTCTTCCGCGGGGTCTAGGGACCCCAGGTGTGCAGAGTAGCCCAGGCTTGAGCTGCGCACCATGAGCAGGACAGCCATCAAAGTCAGACATGGTTGGGGACCTGCTCCTGAGAGTCCCTAGGCCTTGCTCTTCCTCTCTGCAGCTTGTTCACCTCCCCCTTGCTCTGGTCCAGACAGTGGTGGCGACGGTGGTGGTGAGGAGAAGGAGAACAGGAGAACAGGAGAGGCCTTCACTTGGTCGTTTCCCACCTTGGTGGTCAGAAGGTGGACACCCTGACTGGGGGAGGGGGGGCACTGAGGGTGCCTTGCCCAAAGACCTGCAAACATGGCCTGGGCATGGCTCATGAGAGAAAAGCTGAAGGCTAAGGTCATGCTTGAGGCTATTTATAGAAGTGTATCTCCCTAGAGTTGTATGCCTGTTGGCCAGGCCATGTAAAAGCCATCTAGAAATGCTTAGAGCAGGGAAACAGGCATTCTGGCCAGAGGGATGTGGCCTTCTCTGGGGCAGAGAGGAGATGCCGTTGCAGGCAGACCTGGACCTGCGGGGAGACTGGCGGCTGCTCCCTGTCCAGGCAACCAGAGCCAGAGGGAAGCGCCACTAGAGCCCCTTCCTTGTGCCTGTGCTCATGCAGACCGCAGTTGCCACTGCTGGGCACGTGCTAACGAAGACAGCACCGTTGCCACTCTGTGGGAAACATGATCTTGTGTCATAGGCAAAGGAGGTTGTGGGAGAAGTAGGAAGAGTTGGAAAGGGCACGTGTGCAGAGAAGTGACCCCTGGAAAAGTGATGTTTCCATCCAGTCATGTGCAAATGAGAGGAGGTGTTTTTGTTAAGGGAGGGGAATGGACAGTTCCTCCTGCCTCCTCTCAAAAAGCCCTGGAGAAAAAGATGGGGAGACAAGAAGGATGTTTGCCAGGAGGCTGCTTGCGGCCAGGCACCCACCTCCCTGGGGGTAAAGCCACTGGGATCAGTGCCTTTGCTCCCCTCTGCCTGAAAGCAAGAGCCACCTCTCTCCTGTGTAGGCTTTCCCAAGAATAAGCACCATTGAAGCCAATCAGATTTACTTTTGAGGAAGCGCCATTGAAGACAGTGTGATTTGCTTCTCAGTGGACATGCCGTTGTTCCTTGCGGGGCAGGGGAGTGAGTAGCAGGGGAGCAAGCTGTTGGCAAAGGCCAGAACACAGTCCAGGCCTGCGCATTAAAATCCAGCCCTTTGCAGAGACTGGCGGCCGGGCTGCCCAATAATGCGCTAGTCTCTGTCTCTGATGTCAGCAGTCTAGCCAGCAAAGCAAAACATTAGCTGGTGGGTGCACCCACCTTTGTCACAACCATGGCTTATTTCTTAAAAGCCAAATGGGAGGGAAAATGTTGTCTGCATTTTGGAGGACAGAGACATGAGAGAAGGCTGGACTAAAACTCTTCAGGTTGCCCAGGTGGGTGCCAGTGGACTAGCTCTCTTTGGAAAGTACGGGCTGCCACATGGAGAAGACATAATTTCTAGTTTTAAATTCATTGTGCATGAGAGAGTATGTATTGGGGTCTGGGTGGGGGAGGGAGGCCATGTTAGAAGTTTGTACTAGACCCCCAAAATTATCCTTGAGGTCCTGCATACAAATATCACAATCCTCTCTTCCGCAGAAGGCATCCATTGTGTACGAGAGATGTGTGTTTATCCTATCTGTGTGACCCTGTCTGCTCCAGCCTTCCACAGTAGGATGGATTCCCACTCCTACCTGATCACACAGTATCTGTGAAATCATGAAAGAGGTTTCCCTCTGTGCCTGTGACCATTTGAAATGTTTTAAAAATATGTTTTTATTTTTAATTCTCACAAGCAGGAGTGCTCAAATTGCCCCTTCTTTGTTTAACGAGAACAGAACAAAACAAAACCAATGCATAGCAAAGGCAAGGAGACCAATTTATGGGCTCTAAAAAAATATATCCTGGAACCGTCTCCATTCCAGGGTTAAAGACAACACAATACCCTGGAGTGAAGCAAGTGAGAAACACAAGCAGCAGCAGGATTAACCACTGCCGGAAGGCTCCCTGTAACATCCTTCTGTCTGATGTTGCATGTTGTGAGTTTGCCCGACCATCTTGGCGCTTGCCACAGACACCAGTTGCTGGCTGGGAAACTTGCCATCCCCCCCACGCATGCAGTGAGTTGTTCTCAACCGCATGGTGGTGTGTGCGCCTGCACCAGGGTGAGAGAGAGGCTGTCAATCATCACAGCAAGGGTATTGGCTCAGCTAGGCTGATATCTGGCCCTGATAGCATAGGTAGGCTGTCAAAACAACCCAAGACAAAGAGGCTCCGATGATTCAGAAAGTTCAGATGCTGCAGGACAACTAGGAAGTGTCAGACTGCGGAACAAGATGTGGGTTGCCGCAAGGCCTTGCTCAATGCTGGCAGGTCATGCAAAGCACAGGCGGCTGCACCGATGACAGGGAACAGCTCGTGTGCATGGCTCCCATTACATCTTCTTGTCTGCTCTACATTATTACATCAGGCTGGCCCAGCCCTTCTTTTCCCTGTTCCTCATACACACACACACTGCTCACAGGATCTGTTTCAATTGCAAATTGGGGAGTTGCGATTGCCAAATTTTGAAGTTGTTGCTGCAGTCCAGTTCCAGAGTTTGTGCCTGTATTTCCTAAACTGCACTTCAGAATCACATTAGCATCAATGATGTGTCTATGATTCAGCAAAAGCATGTAGATTTACAGTTACTGTGGAAAGATGACATATTCCAGATACATGGTTTGGGCTGGCTCTTTGTTTTTGTTTAATCTGGTGATCACTTATTAACTTTCCAGAGAGGTTCTTCGCCAATAGGCCTCGGAGGCTCCAAGCAATCTGCAACAGGTAAACTTGCTATGAGAGTATTATCAAGTTCTCCCTTAGGATCTGTTTGTTTTTCCTTGCATGCTTTTAACTCTAGACTTGGTTCCTTTGAGCTCAGTCTGCATAATTCCATAGTTGCAATTAAGGATGTGTGAGGAATCCAATAGGAGGGTGAACATTTAGCAGCTTTTCTCAACTCAGCTCTGCAGATTCTGTCCTGTCTGCTCTGCACTTGCTCCACCTGATCAAGTTGAGCCAACATTCAGGCTTCTATTTCTAAAACTGGCCATGATTTTTAATAAAAGCCAGGAAACTTGTGCAAAATTCAAGCCTCTGCTCTGCAATGTGTGCCATTTGCATAGATTTGGGGAAACTGGGTGAATTGCACAACTATGTACATGTTGCGGAGTGGAGGCCCACATTTCACACAAATTTATGTATTTATTTTATTTATTTTTCGATTTGTATCCTGCCTTTTTCCTACAAAGGGCTCAAGGCAGCTCACATCATGCTCCTTCTCCATCTTATCCCCACAACAACAACCCTGTGAGGTAGGTTGGGCTGAGAGTCTGTGACTGGCCCAAAGTCACCCAGTTGGCTCCATGGCTGAGTGGGGACTAGAACCCAGGTCGTCTGAGTCCCAGTCCCAGGCTCTTAACCACTACGCCACACTGGATCTCAAATCTGTAGTTATCTTCCAGATACCTCAGTTGGCCAAGTTGGAGTGTGTGTTTATGCAACATGAGGAGAAATGGTCCATATGCTTTTCATGTTACATGACATAACAAGAACAAGGACAGGAGCAATAAGGACCAGAATCTTACAAGTTGGCCCCAATTTGTGCACTTCCCTGCTCCAAAGTTGTGCAAATATTTGCAATGGTTTTGCAGAAACTGACTCTCTTGCTTGACTCAACCCTCATTTAGCTATTCTGTTGAAAGTTCATTGAATTCCAGTGGAATGAGTTTCCCAGCATCACACGTCTCTTGTTCTACAAAATAAACAGCAAATTCCAAGAAAATTGTCTCACCTCCTTGGATTTATCATTGGGACATTTGCATGACCCTCTTAAGCAGCCACAAATCAATTGTTTCACAGATAATCGACATGAAGCAAGATGCCCCTGTGCTTGTGGTGTCGGCTCTGCAAAACTGCCGACTGAGCTCAAGAGTAGTATGACCTGATTGCCAGCTTGCCCAATACTTCCTGAACATTTCCCTGGCTGATTCAGTCCCAGGCAGCCCCACTTAAGATAGCATCGTCTACGTTTGCCGTATGCAGGTGATAATTAAATTTGAGGTGGCCAGGAGTTCTCAAGCACCCACTGCAGACTGTGTATCTGATTGTGAGCCTCCGATGTTGACTACTACTTTAGCACTCAGGCAAAAACCAGAAATACGACAGGAGAGCAAGGGAAGACAGAGCTTGGAGCTGGCTCCTGGTTCTCAGAGCATGTGCTCAGCAGTTGTTGCTGTGCTTCTGCTTTCTACCTGGATATGTAGACTCACTTCACTGCCCTGCTGCTTGGCCAGGTGTAGCTGCAGTCCAGGGCCCTTGGTCATTTTGCATGCCCACCCGTATAATTCAGTCTCTTTATGGAGCTGTCCAAAAATGAAAGGCACAGCCTCCTTCTCTTGCACAAATGTGTGGACATGCAGGGTTTCATGCCATCCTCTGGGATGGAAGAAGCACAATTGCCTTGTGAGGTCCTGAAACGAGGCACGTTTGGAGTAGAGGAAAGTCAACTTGTTCACAGAGAAGGGATACCCAATGATGTTCTCTTAACTAGGCAAGTGCATGGCTTTATGTCCCAAAGAAAACAGCGTTTCCAAGGAGGCCATGTATTAATTTAATTAATTTATTTCCTTTCAAGGAACTCAGGACATCTTACATATATCTCCTCCTGCTCTCATTCTTATTCTCACAACAACCCTGCAAGGTGGGTAAGGCTGAGAGGCTGTCACTTGCCCAAAGCCTCCCAGGGAGCTCCCTGGCTGAGTGGGGCCTAGAACCCCGATCGCCTGAGTCCCAGTCCCATGCCCTTCAGCACTGCACCAGTTGCAGTCCCGTCTTCCCACCATTCCCTGCCTTGGGCGGCTTCCAGAGCAGCAGGGAGGCATCATGCAGCTCTTCCAACTTTTCTCCTCAGGGGCTTAGCTGCAGTAAGAGAAGAGGCAGGAAAGTGGTGGGGAAACGCAGGAGAAGACCGTGGTGTTTGGATCCCTGTGCAATTCCATGAATGAGGCAGGGCCATCTCACCATCAAAGCACCCTTATCCTGCAGGAGACGGTTCCGTTCTGGGATTTGTCCTCACTTACTGGCAGACAGTCCCAGGATCTGTCCCTGGCATCCCCAGAGCAGGGAAACCCTCATTGCTGAAACCTTGGAGAGCTGTTGCCCGTCAGAGGCAACCATACTAAACTAGGTAGACCCAGCTTAGAAGCATGGGAGCATGTTTCTAACTCACCTACACAGTGTTGCAATTTTGCACATGCAATTCTGTTTCCCCCTTTTCTCTTTTGCTCCTTCCCTTACAAAGAAAAAGGCATTGGCAGCTGATGGCATCTACTCAAAATTCTAAGCTTGGTTAGCTTTGCATGACTGTTTTTTTGGGGAGAAAGGCAGAGAAGGAAAGTGAGCCAATTCGGGCAGGGTGATGTCATTTGGCAAGGAAATGCCAGCTGGGATGGGTGTGAGAAGAAACACAGCCAGTCAGCCTCTCAAGGGCCACCTGACACTTTGAAGGACCAAGAAAATTAAAAGCTATAAAACTGAAGCACTGTTTTTGTTTGCTTGCTTGCTTGTTTTTCTTCTTTGTCGGTTTCACTTCTTAGTCTCCAAGCTGCCTTACTGTCCAGAAGTCAACCACTTGGCTTTGGGTTTTGCCAGGCACAGCTGGAGGAGGGGAAAGTACAGATTTTTGCCATCTGAAAGGGATTTTCACCCACAATTGAACTACTAAGGGGACACTATATCCTGACCATTTAGTTTAAGGGATACTTATAAAATAAAACACTGAATTCAAGTCCATGGAATTCCTGGAAAACATCACTTTTGACAAAGTGATGGACCTAATGGTAAAAATTTTCTCTCTCAATCTCTGTCTCATACCACACCCCAATTCTTTTTATGCAGTAAAGTCGTGGGAGTTTGCTTTTCTGCCAGTTAACAAAATAGCCCAGAGCTTTCACAGGCTGGCCCCTCACTCACTCCCCCCACCAAATCAACCCCTGGGGACTTCCCCTACTTTGCTTGCTCTGGTCTCGGTTGCCCCATGGTGCCGTAGGCGGGATCTGAGCTCCCACAAACAGGTGTCTTCGAGCACTGGGAGCAACTGGAGGTGCAAGCGCTCTTGGATTGCCCGGGGCTGATCCTGCTGTGCCACAAGGGAAGCCCCACTTCTGGGCACTCAGCTCTGCCTGCTTCAAGCTGCCAGTTGCTGTGCACAATTGGCAATCACACAGTTTTGTCTGCTGAGCCAGCAGTGCAAACTCTTCCTACCATGAGAATTTGCTCCAGTGTAGAGATTTCTTAAGGATGCTGCTGTTTCTACATCTGCCAATTTTCAGGATAATTGCTTCACACTTTCCCCCTTCAACAGTTACTGTATCATTGACAGTGTGTCCTGTTCCCGAAGATGTAATTAGTTTCCTAATTTCAGAAATTGAGTTGAGAGCCTGGGGGTGGGCAGGGGGAGGAGATCACATTAGCTATGGCCTCTTCAAAATCAAGCTGAGGAAGAATTCACCTATCAGGTACTGTATTTCTAAGTATCTGCGACACTTTCTCAGGCACCAGAATGGCATGGGTCCCCTTCTCCCAGTGATGGCTGAAGCCCTAGTTCATTGCCCACAGTTTAGTATGGGTGAAGGTTGGAGAGAAGGCTGGCTTTCAATAGATACATTTTTGCAAGTTTAGAAAAGGAGAAAAAGCAAATCATGTAAGTTGGAAACTGCCCCAAGTATGACCGTAAGGCTTTTCAAGCCAAAGTTGGATTGTATGCATTGCATTTGTTTGCTTTTCATCTTTCCCTCATGCTGAAGCCCTTTTCTGGGAAAGGAGACATTTGATTTTTTTTGGGGGGGGGAGATGGGTCCAAAGCCATTTCCAACACTTTACCACCCCCCAGTTTGAGGCAGTTTTGCAGGAAAATGATGCAACAGTTCTTGACACCTTTGCATAGATGTACTTGGCTTAACACTGGCCTCCAAATATTAGTACAGAATTTTTCAGGTCTGTCACTCTAAACCCTGTGGCTCGAGATCTTGCTCTGTGCTGATTATTCCTCTTGCTTTCTAGACTGGGCAGGGAGACTGAGGCTGAGGACTTAGCAGCAAGAATGCTAAAAGTTTGTCCAAAGGACAGAATCTCTGCACAGGAGGCACTTCTTCATCACTTCTTCAGCCCTCTGCCCTCTCAGGTGTACCAGCTTTCTGATGGTATGTCATTCTCTCTTCTATTTCTCACTGCAAGATAGATCAATAGAGCTGTTTGTGTGCCAGGCACTGTGTAAACATACAGACATGCAGACACACAGAGATGCACAAGTTAGGCAGGCGCATTGTCTGAGAATGCACCCAGACAGCCAAATTTCCTTGCATGCAGAAAGCTGTAATGTCAGGCAAAATGTGGCTAGTGCCTCTGGAAATGTGCCTAGCTTTAGCAGAGAGTGCCTTTGTGTTTTAAAGCTAACCCCCATTACCATGAGAATCGAAAACATTTCAAAACAAGCTACAGCTGGGCTTTGCAAACAGGGGTGTAATATTCTTTGCTTGAGAAAGGAGCTTGTTGAGAGGTTTCAGGCTTCCCTTTTTGCCAGACCCCAGGTGGGGACCATTAAATGAGGACCTGCTTAGATTAGGATTCCAAACTATTTGAAAACTTCACTTTTGGTTCTGAGACATATCGTAAACAGAGCAAGTCATCTTTCTCAAATTGCCGTTCTCCTGACATGATGACAGCGAAACCATGTGTTTAAATCCAGAATTGGGCCAGTTCTGTAGAAAGGGTGGGGTGAGCATCCAATTTCAAGAGCAACAGGACAAGTGGGAAAGGTGTGCTAAACTGTACCTTACCTGCAATTACACATTCCCATAGTCTGTTTCTCTGGTGCTTTTCTTCTCTTGTCAGCTCTGAAATAGGAAGAAAACTTTCTAGAGAGAAAAGTGCTTAGGGGGAAAGAGGGGCCGCGGGATCATAAATGGACAGCAGAGAAGGGTTCTTTTCAGTCTCAGTACATTTGAATGCCAAGAAAGAGGGCACAAGCAGAGATTTCCATTATATTTGCACATGTGAATGTACATGTACACATGCACATTTAGAAATGATTACTTTAAATGGGAATAAAGTGCATCTCATGATGGTGTGGAAGACTGTGACCAGGTGACCTGCATTTTCTGCTAAGGCTGCTGCCCGTGAGATGCTTTTGGCCAACTTCAAGGTTCAGCTCTTGCTTCTTGGGGTTCTGTTTACTGACTTGAGCTGGACAGACCTTCAAACAGAGAGTGTCTTCAAAACAGGGGACAGACTTCTGGTTGCCCTTCAGGTAGAGGAGTATCTCCTGCCAAACAGGGCTTGTGGTCGCTTTTGGTCAACTTCTGTAATCCAGCCTCTTCTGCAATGGGCAGATCTCAGTTTCTAAGCGTATGGATTTGCTTTTGCTGTGTGCTGTCACGTTTGACCCTCAATGTGTGTGCGGGAGGGGTATGTGGAGAGCCCGAGAGAGCGAACGAGCAAGAGAAAGATCTGCATTCGTTTTCTGTCCGGCCATCCACAGAGCACAAATCTACTTTGACACTTTCAGAAAACTGAAAAGATGGAATCTCACAGGAGCCTGCCTTTGCCGGGGGATGGGGAGGCGAAGGAGGAGGGGGGAGGCCTCACAGCAGGGGGGAAGTTGACTTTTCTTTATACATATAGGTTTTTTTCCATGCAGAGTTTAAATTATGCCTGATAAAAGGCGTTTCGTGGATGTTTCAGTTCTTTCAAACCCTCCTGGCTTCCTCCCAATTAAATGAGGTTTGTCAAAGCCACAGGGCTCTGCTGCCGCCTGAGAGGCAGACAAGCACTTCCTGCAGTGACATCTCGAATCCCCGAGGGAGGAGATGAAAGTGCCCAAGCCAAAAGACAGGAAAAGAAGGAGGGGGGGATAGGTACAGAGACAGCACGGCAGAAGGAGAAAGGTGGGGAACAGGGGGGAGGCAACAGATTGGCACACAATATGTCACTCTCCAGGACAAGACTAATCATTTCCGTATGAGGAATGCATTCCCGGTCCCCCTGGACTGGTATATTAGTGTGTTTTTATGGCGGCTGATATTTCACTCCCGTTGCTGGCAGCCAGTAGTGGGGCCTCGTGGACAGGAAATGACATGACATTATCAAGGCAAAAATGTGTCAGGATGCAAATCAAAGCTCTTTAGGTAGAAGTAGTTACACTTTCTGATTCAGCAAGCTCATATTCATGAGAGACTCGCTCAGGTTGCTGCAGCGGCAGCAGCAATGTAATTTCAGGAAAATTCCCATGATCCTGGAAATCTGCACTTTCATTACAACATCAGGCATTTTGGGCTGCAGTGTTACTGGAACTAATTTGATCGTATCAGTTTAGCAAGCTGGATGCCATACGAACCCAAAAGATTCTGCCCATGGACCAGCTTTTCTCTACTCAAGAACCATTTTGAAGGAGGAGAGGGTAGAAAAATTAGCTTGTTTCTTCATCAAAAAGGGTAGGTTGGATTGCAAGGAGAGAAATGAAGGTATAAAAAACATTTCTACAGGAGAGTTATTACACAATCATTAAGGCTTGGACCACTCTTTCTCATAAATTGTTAGTGTGCTTATATCCACACAACATTCTCCAAAAGTTGCTTTTCTGAAAAGAGAACCTGTCTACTCATGAATGATTCAAAGAACAAAGATAGATAGAGAGGATATGGATATCAGTATAAAAAAACAGAATAGTAACCTTCCAGTGAGTATTAAAAGAATGCTAGTGGTCAAGTATTAACTGCATTATCCCATGACCTGGTTTGCACAAAATGTTAATCTATGGCTTATTTAATCCGGGGTTGTCTGACAGACAATTTGAACAAACCTCAGTTTGTGTTTTTCAGTCCCTGAATAGTTTCTCTCGTCCTTCATCTTGTCCTCCCAGTGCTTGAAATGTCTTTGCAGCACTGTAGTACTCGCATGCATAATAGGTGTGCGGAGGGAGTGTGGGTGTGTTATGTTTTGTTTACTACTCTTGCCCATCACATCTGCAGCTTGGCAAAAAAGCTCATGAACAATACATAGTTTGGGGTTCACACGTAATGTTAACTCATGGTTTAAACAACCCAGAGTTCACAACCCACAACCAATCATGGGTTCTCTTTCCAAACTGTTCATGATTAACAAACCATAGTTTGTGAGCACAGCTGGGTTCATACAACTAGAAACCCAGAATTCAGTAACCCATACAATGGGGATAGCTTTATATATGAATCCAGCTGAACTGAAGCCAGAGGAGGCTATTTGCCTGTGGTTCAACAAGGGAAGTGGGCAGGAGGTCTGTAATAAGAGTGTAATTTTAGTTTCACAGAAATCCTCCTTAGTTTCACAGAAATCAACTCTAGTCCAGCCATTCCTTCTTGTTTTTGGTAAGGGGTCATTTTAAATTCGTTTCTTCACATTTTCCGTTTGTGAAAACCACTCCTGGAGAGACTGAGACGTGATTGATTAAACACTTTGTAATTCAGGCCTTCCTATAGAAAATTGGTGTATGCATTTTTAACTATCCTATATATGAATAATTTCAACAAGGACTGATTGTAAAACAATCAACTTGTGTTGGCTTCAACATATAACTGGTGATCACAGCATTTAGTCAAGTGTGGTGCAGTGGACTCAGGAGATCTGGCTTGTAGTCCGCACATGGCCATGAATCTCACTAGGCGCCTTTGGGCCAGTCACCGAAATTCAGCCTAACCTGCTGCACAGGCTGTTTTGAGGAGAAAATGGAGAGGAGGAGGACTGTGTAATCCGCGGTAGGTTCTGCCACCCCCTCTGCATGCTCAAAAAGCTTTTGCAGTGTTGCCTATGTAGTATTATAGCCTCAGTAGCCTCATGAGTAGCCCATAGTTCTGAGTTTGCGTATAATCTCTGGTTTAAAGAAACCAGAGTTCACTGTCCGATAACAAACCATGCCAAGGTGATTCGTATGTGGGCAAAGTTGCCCGTGTGTAGACTGGCCTGTCACTTGCAAGCACAGGTGCTGAGGAGGGTGAGGTGCACACGGCTGCATGCACTGGGCCCATCCAGAGGCATCTGGTGTGATCGCAAGACCTTCTGGTCATACAGAAGTTTCCCTCTGGTTTCAGCCATCTGTGTCCAAGCCCTGCCATGCTCAACGGGAGTCGGTGTATGGGGGCAGGAGGGAGGTTTGGCCAGATGCTGAGGGCACTGACAATGTGTTCAGGCTGCAGAGCATGACTCAGGGTTGACTAAGAAATTCCTGGGGGGTGTTGCTCTGCAGAGTAGGCATGCAGAGGTGTTCCTTCCGGAGCGGAGCATCTCTTCCCACAATATCTGAAGTGAAAGCAATGATGGGCACCCCACGGGTCTGGATTGTGTTCCTGTGAATTGTGCTTCCCTTTGGGAGAAGCGTGCAGTGTCCTGTGGGGTTGTCGCCAGGGGAGGCCGGTGATTTTTGTCCTCCTTCCTGCTTTTTGGATTTCTTTTCTCCAGGCAGGCAACAGTCCAGAGAAGCCATGCTGGAACTGGAGAAGGTGTGGGATTTCTGGTCTCCTGGCCTCTCCCCTCCCCTCTCACCAGGACGCTTTCTTTCCCCTGGCCTTTGGCAACTTCTGGCAGCAGCGGCATGATGCTTTCTGCAGTGTCTGCAAGTGCTGGGCCGCCAGATCTCTGAATGTCCCTCCCATGATGGTAGCCATGTCGGTGGCCTCAAGAGGGAGACCCTGAACAGTGCCCTGTTCCCTGGGGCACTCTCCCAGTAACTATTAGCTTGCTTGCTGCACTTCTTTCAGCTACAGCTGGTGATCACCAGATACCGGCACCCTCAGAATGAACCAAATTATGAAATGGGGTCAGGAATTCTGCAGCGGTCTGTATTCCTGTTTTTAACGCTGCATTTTCTGGAGTGCGTGGGCTGCTGCTCTGTGGCAGCCCATGTGGTGGGCAAGCAAAACATCCCAGGTTCTGTCCCAGGACTCCGAGGTGGGAAGGAACCTTCCTGCAAATGCTGGAAACCCACCACCAAGCAACATCAACATGACTGGGCCAGGCGCACCTGGAATCTCCACCCTGCCATCGTTGGCCACAATCAGTGCCTGAGGCTGGCTGCCACCATTTCCCATACGATAGAGAAGATGCTGAAGACCAGATGCATTTACTCCACTTGGCAACCCTCGATCCAGTTCTGGACCGGACCACACGGGTG